AAAAAAATAAAATATATATATATATATCTTTTTTGTGATATGCAGTTTTTAAAGTATTTCTATAGCTTCAGGGGGTACAAATAGTTTTTGGTCTGGGCTTTAAGTGTATTCACCGCTCCCACTTGTGTACATTGTACCTGATAAGCAATTATTTGTCCCTCTACCCCTTCCCCCTTTCTGAGTCTCCAGTATCCATTACCATACTCTATGTGATAAAAGAGATTTTAAAAAACCTAAATAAATGTAGAGACATACCATGTTCATGGATTGGAAGACTTTTCCATTCTCCCAAATTAATTTTAGGTATAATATAATCCCTATCAAGATGCCAGCAAGGTATTTTGTAGAAAAAAAGAAAAACAAGCTTATTCTAAAATTAATATGGAAAGGCAAAGAAAATAATAAATTAGCTAAAACAATCTTGACAAACAAGAATAAAATGGGAAAAATTACTCTACTCAATATTAAGGCTTATTGTATAGCTATGGTAATCAAGACAATGTGGTATTCGTGGAGGGATAGACAGAGAGCAATGAAATAGAACAGAGGACCCAGGAACAGAGCACAATACAAAGTATTAGTATTCAGCATACAGAAAAATTGACAAATCAGTAAGACTACAGTCAAAAGAAAAACAGGCAAACTATTAATATATGAATAGCAAATTCATAAAAAGAAATAAAAATGACTTACAGATTTATGAGACACTCAAATTCACTAGTAATAAGGATATATAAATTAAAAACAAGACACTGTTTCACACTCATTAGACAGGCCTAAATGTAAAGTGTATAATAAATGTAAACATAATGTCCACGTTTGGTGAGATGTGAGGAAACTGGGATTCCCATATGCTGCCCAGGAGCTATTTGGGTGAGCCATTTGACAATTTCTAGTAATATTAAAGAAGTGTCTGGCCCTTAGACTCAGCAGTTCTAAGAACATATCCCAGGGCAGCAGTTCTCAACATGTGATCTATGAACCCTGTGGGTACCTGAGACTTTTACAGAGATCTGTGAGGTCAAAACCATTTTCATAGTAACACTAGGAAGTTGTTTGTCTTGTTCACCATGTTGAGATCAGCACGGATGGTGCAAAGGCAGTGCCACAGGGAAAACTGTTGGTGCCTTGGCCCAAAACAAGACAGCGGTGGCACCAAACCACACTTGTGACCACTGCCTGCTTCGACACCTCAGCCCTGGTTTCACATGGGTGTGTCCTCGATGAAGCATTAATACTCAGTAATGTTATTAATTTTCCACCCTGCGTACCCAGCTTGTAATCTCTAATGAAATGGAAAGAAGTACGCATGGACACCTCTGCTGCACACTGAAACATAAAGGTCACCTCAAGGACCAGCCATACGCATATCACCTTGTCTTTACCTCCACTACGAACGTGTCAATAATGTGCTCCCGGGGGAGGAACCAGTGGGCTACTTCCTCTTCATCCATCACTGGAGCTAGATGAAACTGCTTCAAGTAAGTGTTGATTAATTCTCGAACTGGTTTGATATCTTTTGGTTCCATCGGTCTCAAACCTAAAGTCTTTGTAACCTTGTTAGAGGGACAAAACAAAACAAAACAAACAAATCCAGAAGTTTACATACAAGAGAAGGAAAACTACTTTGTGCTACAAGTGTGGTCCACAGAAAAGTGGTATCAGCATCACGTGGAAGCTTGTTAGAGCTGCAGACTCTTGACCCAGCCCAGACCTAGTGAATCAGAATCTGCAATGTAACAAGACTCCCTAAAGATTCATGTACACGTTTAAGTTTGAGAAGTCCTGGGTTAAAATACAGGCAAGACAATGTGTTGTATCTTCTTGTCTGTCTGTGGCAGGTCTCTGGTCAGTATCGCCCATGACCCAAACAAAATCAAAGGAAACTCTACAAGTTGACTTATATATCAATGCCAAGAATGTTAACAGCCTACAAATAGGACATCACAATCTGAGCATGACTTCTGATGTACACTGGGCCCTCCATACCCATGGGTCCTGCATGTGTGGATTCAACAAGCCATGGATGGAAAATATTCAGGGAAAAATTAATGGATGGTTGTGTATGTACTGAACAGGTTATTATTTCCTAAAAATACAATATATTATATCCTAAAAATATAGTATATCCATTTACATAACATTTACATTGTATGAGGTATTATAAGTTATTGAGAGATTATTTAAAGTTTATGGGATGAAGGTGGGCATAGTGGCTCACACCTGTAATCCCTACACTTGGGGAGGCAGAAGTGGGAAGATCTCTTGAGCCCAGGAATTTTGAGAACAGCCTGGGCAACATAGCAAGACCTCATCTCTACCAAAAAAAAAATTAGCCAGCCATGGTAGCGTTTTCCCGTAGTCCTAGCTACTCAGGAGGCTGAGGCAGGAGAACTGCCTGAGCCCAAGAGTCAGAGGCTGCAGTGAGCTGTGATCAACAGAGTGAGATCCTGACCCGACCCCCCAAAAAGATATATGGGATGATGTATATAGGCTATGTGCAAACACTACACCATTTTTTAAAAAATCAGGGACTTGAGCATCTGTGGATTTTGGTATCTGAGGGGGCCCAGGAACCAATTCCTCACAGATACTGAGGAATGACCGTATTATGCTTTAAAATCACCAAGCCTGACATTTTGAAAAAAACAGTTGAAGTACTAGTTTTACTCAATAGCCCATGAAAAGAGTGTAGTAATTTTGTTCTATTGAACAAAAATAATATAGAAGTAAATCACACTGGGCAGTATCGGAAGGTAAGCAGTTAGCAGCCACGCATTTTCTAGAGGTAAATAAATGGGTCTGTGGCCATAACACATGTGATCTTGTCTACAAGTGAATGGCCACCAAGCACCGGGTTTGGCCTCTCCTGCCTTCTCTTCTGACTAAAATTATGTAGAGTAGGCATTTTCTCCCCACTCCAGAACTTTAAAAATTAAGCCATAGGAATACAAAGCCTAAAGGTCAGGACAGGTTCCCACTTGAATTTGTTCAACTGTCCTCAAAAAAATCTGATATCACTTAGCTCTTTAGAACTGTTGGGATGCTTGAGACTAGAAGTGAGAATACCCAACAAACAAAACATGTTAAACTGAGAAATACAGTTTCATTTTTTCCCAGTAAACTTGCTTTATTCTTTCCTTGGAGAAATACTGGATAAACTTTAAGAGATGAATAACTTCTATGTAAATATTGCTACTCTATGGCCAGGTTGATGGCTCACGCCTCAATCCCAGCATTTTGGGAGGCCAAGGTGAGAGGACTGCTTGAGTCTAGGAGTTAGAGACCAGCCTAGACAACATAGTGAGACCTTGTCGCCACAAAAAAAATTTAAACTTAGCTGGGTGTGATGGCATGTGCCTATAGTGTAGTCACGGCTACTTGGGAGGCTGAGGTGAAAGGATCACCTGAGCTAAGGAGGTCAAGGCTGCGGTGTAATCATGCCACTGCACCCCAGCCTGGGTGACAGAATAAGAACTTGACTTAAAAAGTAAATAAATAAATAAGTATTGCTAGTCTCCTTTTTTTGCTCTAAACAACGATTTTATTTTTCAATTTATTTTACTTTACTTTCTAATTTAATTTAATTTTATTTTAGTCACGATCTCACTCCAGCCTCACCACAGTTTCAACCTCCTGGGCTCAGGCGATCCTTCTGCCTTAGCCTCCCAAGTAGCTGGGACTATAGGTGCCATCATGCCTGGCTTATTTTTTTATTTTTTTGTAGAGACGAGGTCTAGCTGTGTGCCTAAGCTGGTCTTGAACTCCTGGGCTCAAGGAGTCCTCCGGCCTCAACGTCCAAAAGTACTGGGATTACAGATGTGAGCCACTGTGCCAGGACAGACTTCTAAATATTTTTAAATGAAAATCTTCTTGTAGACCCTGACCATTACAATTCCTCCATGCCCCTAGCCTAGGTAGAAGCCAAGGGGGAAAACAGGTTCTTATCTTGAGTGCTAGCTCTCATCAACTGTTAGTACCTGTGCTGAGGTTTCTAAGGCTCGGTGACAAACAATGCGATTGATTATTGATTAGCATGGAGTGGGGCAGAGGAGATGGAAGCTTGCTTTATATTTATAAACCCAAAAGTCTTTAGCTAAGCATTTACTGGGAGCCACTCAATTACGATGTATGTAATCTGTTCAGCTAAAATATCATTTAATAACTGTCTAAAATTTAGCAATTTAAGTTAAACATTTAAGCTTAACATTTACTAGACAACTCATACTTTTAGTCTTTTTAACTCATTGGTCAGAAACATCCAGGCCCTAGCTGGAAGTAAATGCAGTGAGCATGCATTTCTAAATGATGGCAAGAAGACCAAAACCATATAAAATAGATACTGTAGTAATTTTAAAACTATTTTCTGCTATGAAGCAGACTTTGCTTGATCAATTTCATTTACTTATTTATTTATTTGGCCTTCCGTCAGGCTGAGGCGGCTGCCTTCAGCAGTGGGGAGCAAGAGCTCTTATCCAGTTCTGCCTTGTCTTCCTGGAAGGCCTTTTCCTTACTTAAATTGCTGCCTCTCCAAGTCCTTTCTCCACCAGCTCAGACAGCACAGACATCTGGGTCAGGCTTTCCACCCACTCAGCTCTCCAAGTATGGAAACCTCTGGCATGTGAACATCAGCCTCATTCAGGAAACTCTTGCCTTTATCCTGCCAAAGAGAGACAGTCTCCTCTCTGGATGAGAAGGAACCAGTGCCCAAGCTCACAGCTCCAGCACCAGAGCTGCCAGCCAGGGAGCCACTCCTGGAGCGGGTCACTCCAGCCTACCCTGAGGGTGGGTCAGAGGTGGTGGAATCAGCGCAGTTGTTGCAGGGGGAGCTACCTAGGGTAGGGTCATTGCCCATGCTCCCTGCCATCTTTTAAATAGCCTTTCTCAAAACCAGAATGATTTTTCTTTTGTCACTGATTCAGTACCAATCAATAATATCAAGCAATTACATAAATTATTAAAAGCAATAGAATATATGACAGTTGTTAAAAGAGAATACTCAGAAATTAAGAAAAGTTTGCCAACTTCTTTCTAAAGCAAAATATTATTTGGGACCACAATTCTTATTCACCAAATATTCATGCTGTGCAGTCACTAAAAACAATGTACCTTTAGCCCAGCAAACATCCTTAAAGCAGCAGTTTTCAAATATTTTGGTCTCAGGAACCCTTTACAATCTTAAAAATTGTACCCTCAAAGAGCTTTGGTTATGTGGGTCATATGTATCTACATTTATCATGTTAGAATTTAAAACTGAAAACATTTTAAAACAAAAGAATATATAAGCACTCATATACTCACTGGAATAATTTATATTATATTCATAAGAGAATGAAAGTAAAAAATGCAAATATAATTTGCATTTTAGTGTTTCAAATTGTGAAAATAGCATTGACTTCATGACTTCAAAGATTTTCAGGACTCCTGGGCCACACTTTGAGAACTGCTTATTTTAGGTTTCTGTAGATCAGAAAAATAAGTAGTAGAATTTAATTTTATTTTTCTTATTTCTCCAAGAAAAATTATTATTATTATTTTTAATTGGAGTCTCACTCTGTCTCCCAGGCGGGGTGCAGTGGCACTATCACAGCTCATTGCAGCCTCAACTTCCTGGGATCAGGCAATTCTTCCACCTCAGCCTCCTGAGCAGCTGGGACTACAGGAACACACCACCACACCTGGCTAATTTTTAAAAAATTATTATTTGTAGAGATGAGGTCTTGCTATGTTATGTTGTCTAGGCTTGTCTTGAACATCTGGCCTCAAGTGATCCTGCCACCTCAACCTCCCAAAGTGCTGGGATTATAGGTGTGAGCCACCACACCCAGCAAGTAGTAGAATTTAGATGAGAAAGGCTTAGTGAAACAATATGTTTGGGTAGAAAGTACATAAACTTGGCAATTTATAAGTATTTCAAACAAGTTTTTACAGAAGTATTAAGGCAGAAGAGAATGTCAAAATATATCAGCCTATATAGTGTGTGTGTGTATAATAAATATCTAAATATTTGTGTGTGTGTGTGTGTGTGTGTGTGTGTGTGTGTGTGTGTGTGTATATATAAAGTCTGAGAAAACAGGAGAAGAATCTTTACATTTGCTGACTAGCAATGGCTAAAAAAAATCTATAAAGAATGGAATAATTTTCAAAATGTGAAATAAATACTCAAGTCACAGCTGTTGTCTTCAGGAAGAAGTAGGAAGACTGTAGGCTTAGATAAAAATAAAGTTGCAGGGCGTGGTGGCTCAAGCCTGTAATCCCAGCACTTTGGGAGGCCAAGGTGAGAGGACTGCCTGAGCCCACAGGTTCAAGAACAGCCTGGGCAACTTGGTGAGACCTCATCTCTACAATAAATCACAAAATTAGCCAGCCGTGGTAGTTCCAGCTACTTGGAAGGTTGAGGCAGAAGGATCACCTGAGCCCAGCAGGTCAAAGCTGGGGTGGCACTCTAGCCTGGGTGATGGAATGAGATTCCAACTCAAAAAAAAAAAGATAGGGTTCTGTACAGTTGGATAGTGACTTGGTCATGTTTTCTGAGAGTTCAATAAAAAGCAAAAAAAACATTTCCTATAGCTGAAAACAACTTAAGTTTCATAAGCGAAAGTTGTTTCTGAATCAGATATCCTTTCCCATGGCCCAACTAATATCTATTACTCATTGGACTCTGTGTATGTTAAAATAGAAGTAAAATCTGCTTATAAGTGCATAAAGATATAAAGCTCAGAGATTTGTGAAAAAACAGAAGTGGTGTTGTTATCTGTCAAACTGTGGTATGAAATGTTTTAGAGTCGAGATTCCAGAGTAGGGATGTAAGCAATGATTGTGATTTTTATATGATTGAAAAGGGAGCTGTAGAATGCTAAACACTAAAAAACTCGTCAGTGCCACTAAGTAGAGAACACCTTACGAGTCTCAGGACATGCCTCAGCAAACATAGCCTTCTAGTAGCACAATTCTAGGACCTTGGTAAATCAATCTCTCACTCCTCTTGCATTTAATTAACTTCAAATTCCTTTACTTTTAAGGTCATTGATACAAACACACAAAATCCAGCTTGAAAATACTCAACACCAAGTGGAAAACAAAAATGTTGAACAGATAGGGAGACATGGCAGTACAAGTTTCTTGGGGAAACCGTAGTATTTCAGACAACAGTAGCTCATGGTGCAGGCCCTGGCAGAGCATGAGCAGCAGATTCTGGGAAGCCAATCTTATGTTTCAACATCCTCTTCTGTGATACAGGATTAATGACCTGCCCTCCTGTGACTGTTTGCCGGAGACCAGCTCCAGCCAAGTTCAGGGTATCCCAAAGGTGGAGACGGTGTCAGCGATTGAGGGGAAGAGAGAAAGAGAGAGAGAGAAAGAAAGAAAGAAGCCAAGTTCAGGGTATCCCAAAGGTGGAGACGGTGTCAGCGATTGAGGGGAAGAGAGAAAGAGAGAGAGAGAAAGAAAGAAAGAGACTGGACTCAGGTCTAGTGCAGAAGCGATGTGTGTGTTATTGGGAATTACAACACAACGGGTCTTTTATACACAAAGTCAGATGTGGGAGGGGCGTCCCCCACCCACCAGAAACCTTAATCCATGAAAACTTAATCAATAATTGCCTTTAAAACCTTTTCATATGATAATCTTAAAATCCCATAACAAAGGATAACCTAATCCATGACTGACATATTCTATAAACCTTTTTCATCCTAAACTGATTGATTTATGCCAAGTTAAACAATTCTATAGAAGCTTGAGTATTTACTTTACAAACAAAAGTGGCCCATCCCAGAATGTTTGGAATGTGGCCCAGTCCAAAGTTCACAGTGGGCTACCTGCAAGTAACTCAGCCGCATTCTTTCAACAAAATGGCTGTTTTCTAAAACTATATTCTACAATTTACACCTTCAATAAATCCTAAGATCATGACCCAGAAGCCTGTGACCAATACTAAGGCTCTTAGATGTGACACAAGTTTGAATTATAAGTTGTGTGAAAGCCAAAACTGCAGTTTGTGGAAGAGTGGGAGCAATGAGCTTCTAAAGTTAGCTTGTGTTCATCCCGATCTCAGAGTTTCTATGTTTTGAGCTCACAGGAGCTTAACCTGGTTAATGCTGAGTAGAAAGGGGGAGGAAATGGGGTCAATAGCTCCCAAACGCATCCTAGTGGTCTCAGGGTCAACAGTCCTTCCTGATCCCTAATGCTCAGTGGGCCTCCGTGGCCGGCTCCCAACAACTCATGCCTGTAATCCCACCACCTTTTGTATATGTTCTATTTGTTTTAGTCTTATTATGCAATAATAAGGATGTTCAAAATGTAACAACCTATGTGTTCCAGAAGTGCTAAGAATATCAGAATAATATGAGTCCTAGCAAGACTAAGAGTAAGAGTGTGCATGGAGAAGCCCCTGAAGAGGTCTTGGAGAGTGCTTTTGTCTGCATCCAGCACACATTTGGCAAAGGAACATAAGATTTGGCTGAAAGAAAATGAGTTTGTCAACTTTATATACTAACAACTGTCTTTGTTTATTTGTTAAACTTAATACATCCCAAGAACTCTGACATGCTATTATGTTTAGGCCCACTTTCCTAATACAGTTGACCTTTGAACAGCATATGTTTGTACGGTGTGGGTCCCACTTAAGATGGATTTTCTTCCTCCTCTGTTACTCCTAAGACAGCAAGAGAAAACCCTCCTCTTCTCTCCTCTTCCTCAGTCTATTTGATATGAAGAAAATGA